CATATAACCTTGAAAGAAAATGATTATGAAAAAAAATCAAGTGAAAAGGGTATATAAATTGGGTAAACAGTCAATGATATTCCAAAACCGGGCCACGCCCCCCTCTCCCGTCACCTTCAAGTTTTTTCGGCATTACGAGTGTTGCCGAAATGGCGCCACCAACGGGACCATAAAGCAGGAGATTGCTAGCAGACAAGAATGTTTACCATTTTCCATACGCAAGCGTTTAGTAAACCAGCATACAGTATAGTTCTCGCGAAAGCTTTGGCTTTTGTGGCATTATTGTCGCCTCAGCATCGCAACATTGTGGCATCAGCATTGCGTCATTGAAAATTTAAGCTGTGCTCGATGCCACAAAATAAGCGAGGCGAGCACAGCTTCACAGTCTCAAGGCATCAACATGGCATCAGCTTCAAAGTACAATGTATTGTGACACGAGTATGACCTCATTTAATATTTGCACACAGTAGAGAAAAACACATGTACAGAAGTTCGATATATAATCGATTTGAAATTCAAGGCGGTAAGGGGAATAAAATAATATGATCAAGAGTAAAATGACATTTTACTAAAAAGATATCTTGTTGAATTATTTTAGTGTTGCGAGTATTCAAAACTTTGTGAAGTACATTCAAGGCAAGGTGACGAGTGTCGTATCGACTGCAAGGAAAATTGTGATAAATTTAAATCACACGATGCAATCGTCGTTTGGATACAACACAATTTGCTATATACGAAATGAAACTGTTCTTGCTATAAAATTACCTTTTTTTCGCTCATTTTATTTTCTGGTAAGAAAACCGATCCCATGGCCGGACTACTAATACATGCACAACACACGTACGCCGCCTGGTGCGTCGGCGTTGTCGCCAGTCATCTTCATACAAAGTTCCAAAACAAGTGCGTACAAATCCGCAATTGTTACGTGCACATTGTGGGATCTCGGCACGTGCCGAAATTGTTAAGCCTTCGAGTTTGGAGAGAATTACAGCACTGGGTTTACGTTTGTCCGGACCCACATCGGGACCCAATCGGCTCGTGCACAAATCACGCTGTCATTCGTCGATCTGTTAGTTGACCCAAACATGGAAAGCGATACACATATGATGAAAACAATAATTGACATATTGAAATTAATTCCTTTTGTTATTATAGTATTTATTACGAGTCATCGTGTAATGAACGGCTTAGAAGATTCGATTTTTTTGTTTACGTCAATGTAGCATTGCAAGAAAATACCGGTTGCAGCACATGAATATTCGTCGCCGACGACAGTTTGCATTCATTTCATCACAATCACTCCTAGTAGGGTGACTGGGATTTCATTGATTACTACTGTATTCGATCATATATATAGTTATGTGTTCTCTGAAAGTTCACCACTGATTTCGGTTCATGCCGAGCGTTCAAGTAGATCTCTAACGTGAACGCCACTAATGTGTACTCGAAAATGACTTGGCTGAGAAATGATTACGTACTACAATATACTAACACTGACACTCTTTTTCTAACTTTTGAAAGTAATGGTTTTAAGAAGCATTTTAATCATAGGTTAATCAACAGTATGTTTATAAGTTCAGTCACATCAGACAAAACAAATATCACTTGGTGCCACAGTGGCAACACCTCTTTTGTTGTAGAAGTAACACATGTGACAATGTATTAACAAACAAGTGTGAGCTGTCTTGGCTGAGTTCAAGTGCAGCCCCTTACACGTTTTTTTTTCCAAAACGTAAAATATGACGGAACTTCGTTCTATCATAGCCCAACAGGACTTTTTTTTTATATTTCTGAAATGTCATAAAATTGATCTAATAAAGACGTATAAGAAGCGTGATGTATTGGAGCTAAGCACGTCTGGGGGTACATCAATCTTCAAGCCACGACTGTGTTTGTCGTTGATGGCGGGATCATGACGCGTGAGTAATTGTACTTAACGAGCAATTTAAAAACAAGCTGTACGAGGGCGCTATATACGAACATGGAATAATTTTATAAATTGACAACGCTTATAGCTAATGCACATTTAAATTGTAAACGGTTATACACACCATGTAAGGATAAATATTATAAGGCAGTTCCCGGAAAACGTCAAAATAAATGTAATTTACAATGGGCGTACTCTGCGTGGAAGAACACAAGAATACGCCGGAAACCGTTAACGTAATGATGGGTTACCCAGCTGTATATGTTGTTTCAGTATCAACGTAAATTGGCGTATATTTTTGCATTTACGTTTCTTCCGTGGAACTTAATCAGTGGTTATTTAAAATTATACGTTATAAACGTTGAACGGCAATCTGCGGTTTTTCAGAAATTACCGTTGATTTACGTTGGACTGAATGGACGACAAATGTAGCATTTCCGGCTGGCGGTTACGCGACGGATATGCCACCCCATAGTCTGACAGTTACGCGACGGTTTTACTGCGTAACCGCCATGTAATCGTTGTGTAACCGTACCAGAAACACGCGATTTCATGCCATGCCAGAAACGCCACAAGCCACACTAGTGTGTGGCCGCCCCACCCAAAATGACAAGAAGCAGAGGTAAATCCTTATGAAAGTATATTACTAAATTGCTTGAATCCGAATACAACGACCCCTGCCTGACCTGAAAAACAGAACAATGTAAGGCACCCATATATAGCGGCTCCTGCCTGACCTATATTCAAGTGCAAAACATGTTTCGTCTATTCCTGTAAACATCTTGCCTAATATATCCCTTGAATGCATCTGACTTCCATCTACCTAAAACACGGATCTGAGCGTCAGACAACCCATCTGAAGCAGCTTGTGAGGCTGCTCCTATACGAAAACTATGTCCCTTGAACCTATCAACATTAAAGCCACAAAACTCAAGAGAACGCCTAAGCTAAGCTGTGAAATGACCCCATCCAATGCTCCAGGCAGGCAAAAAAGTGGGCCCGCATCTACTCCCCGTAACTGGCAAAAATCCCACATTGCCTGCACAGGGCAAAGGTCAGTCACCTCCATCCTACAAAATGAAATAACAAATGCTGTGCCTGGTTTGCAATGCTTAAATTTGGATAAGTTAATGTCATTGACTGAGGTTTACCCATGGTTCCAATAAACTGCAACTGATTGAAAAGAATGGCCCCACCCACATCATGCCTATTTTTAATTGTAATTTCCCCAATCCTGAGGAACCCATAGAATGCTGTTAAAACATTGCTCTAAATAAACACCCTTGATAAGCAGATGAAATAACG